AGCTAAATATTTATCAGCATATTTTTAATGAACTTGTATACATGTTATAAACAGTGAACAATACCTGCGTGTGATGGTGGATGTCTGGTGAGGTTGAAAACTGTAGTGACTTGGGTATGTTTTCTAATTCTCCGCTGTTCGTATTCTCACAATTGTAAATTTCATCATCATCTGTTGTATCGAATGGTTGCGATTTCATGGTAAAAATTTTCCGTAAGCGACAACTCGCAGAAATCGTTAAGTTTTCAAGAGCCTTGAAAGATTGCCCTTTGAATGTCTCCCCGACCAGTGATTGCAGATCAAGGCAAAGATTCAGCCAAATCCCAAGGCGGAGGATATTAAGCGGAAATCGCGCGTGTAGTTGAGTTATCGTAATGTCCCTGTGGTTAGACGAAAGCAGAATTCGCCGTTTGTTGTTCCCGGAGCTGTCGGTGACGCCAAACTCCAAAGAAAACGAATGTCCCAGCGGTACATACAATTGTAAGACTAAATAGCGCTGTATGAGCCATAACGATTGTTTTTCGTCCTTCGGAAGGCTCATTTTCGTGGTGGTTGTTTCGCCCTCCAAAATGTAAACAAAACTCTTGACGTCCTTGTCGTATACTTTGTTTTTCGTTGATGCACTTCCAGTGAGCCTCCATTTTGCTACGGGGTCGCGACCCTGTGCACTGAAAACTTCCACATACGAGCCACCCTATTATCGCAAACCAGAAAGAAAAGATGAAAAGATACGCAAAGTTTAATTACAGTAACCATCGGTTACGCATTTATATATAACGCAAAAGGTGATCGAGGAATTCACTTACTTGGAACTCATTTTTAAACATTATCCACGCCAAACTAATAACTGTTTATGCAGCTTAGCTTGTTCACGATACGTTCAAGGTCTGTAGATATGTGTTAGCTGTCAAAAACACTTTGCAAGAGACACAAAAAGAGCTTTCAACTCCTCTCTCTCCGTGGAGTCGCCATTTCAAAATCAACGCATGCGTAACCGTCGTTGTCGGAGAAGTCTGGGTACTAGATATCGAAGATGGCGGCCAAGCCAAACTGTTTGATAGCTTGTAGTTCAGCTACCCAAGGTATGGATAATTTTACTTGATTCGGAGGGATAAGTTACTTGAGATT